ATATATATATATATATATATATATATATATATATATATATATATATATATATATATATATATATATATACATATATATATATATATATATATATATAATATAATATATATATATATATATATATATATATAATATATTATATATATATATATATATATTATATATTATATATATATATATATATATATATATATATATATATATATATATATTATATATAATATATATATATAATATATATATATTATATATATATATATGTATATATTATATATATACATATATATATATATATATATATATATATATATATATATATATATATATATATATATATATATATATATATATATATATATATATATATATTCATATATTTATCATACTATATATATATATATATATATATATATATATATATATATATATATATAATATATATATATATATATATATATATATAATATATATATATATATATATATATATATATATATATATATATATATATATATATATATATATATGTACATATATATATATATATGTATATATATATATATATATATATATATATATATATATATATATATATATATATATATATATATATATATATATATATATATATATATATATATATATATATAATATATATATATATGTATATATATATGTATATATATATATATATATGTATATATTTATATATGTATATATATATAATATATATATATATATATATATATATATATATATATATATATATATATATATATGTATTATTTATACATATATATGTATGTATATATACATTTATATGTATGTATATACATATATATGTGTATATACATTTGTATATTTATATATGTATATAAAAACATACATACATTATGTATACACACACACACACATGTATACCTCTCTCTCTTCTCTCTCTTTTTACATATATATATATATATATATATATATATATATATATATATATATATATATATATATATGTATATATATATATATTATATATATATATATATATATATATATATATATTATATATATATATATATATATATATATAGTACATACATACATAATACATACATTAATATATATATATATATATATAATATATATATATATATATATATATATATTATATATATATATATATATATATATATATATATATATATATATATATAATATATATACATACATACATATACATACATATATATATATATATAAATATATATATATATATATATATATATATATATATATATATATATATATATATATATATATATATATATATATATATATATATATATATATATGTATATCTATACAAATCAATATGTATGTGTGTATATATGTACACATATGTGCATATAAATATATATATACATAAAGGTACATGTATACATGTATATATGTATATATATATATATATATATATATATATATATATATATATATATATATATATATATATATATATATATATATATATATCCATACACATATGTATTTATGTACATTTAAACACATGGGTATATGCATGTATATATATATATATATATATATATATATATATATATATATATATATATATATATATACATATATATATATATACATTATTACACACAAACGCACACAAACATGCGTGGATATGTGCGTGTGAATGTTATTTACTGACTTTAGAAGTTCCTCGGTGCGAACATTTTGAAGAATATTCTATTAAAGGTATTTCAAGACCAACAAAAGATCTGTGAGAATATACGATGGACGAAAAAACAAGAAAAAAAAAAGAGAAAAAAGAGAGAGAGAGAGAGAGAAAGAAAAAGAAATAAAAATGCTTTCAAACGTACGCTATGAAATAATGATGCTATTAGACTGACCTACTATAGCAGAGCAAGTACCTCTGGCGTCGAAAGCCCACGCTATAACCATACCAGTTTATAGGCTCAGTTTTTACGTCCGCGTCTTAACACGGCAATATCCACCTTCGTTCTGTTAATTCACTTTTACTCTCTCTCCCAGTCTCGCATCGTGAGTACCAATACAAAAGTCAATGGTGAAAGACGAAGATTTTTGGGAACCGGCGATAGCATCATGTTCAGCTGAAGCCAGAGAAAGAGACCTTCATTACACACGCCATGTGCTTTCGTGGGTCGAACTGAAGGCAAACAGGTGAGAGACGGTAGACGCTGGAATCCGAGGAGGAAATCGAGTACCGGGAGGTGGACACGCGAATTATCTAGAACGGAACTAGTTGTTTATCTAACTTCTTCACTTCATTGTTATATATATATATATATATATATATATATATATAATATTATATATATATATATATATATAATATGGTCTTATGAATAAATCACAGAGTATCATATATGCAGACGGTTCAAGGAAGAACAGATACAAGGAAGAAAAGAAAGTAAAAAAATCCGAGCATGTAGGTCAGTAATGGTGAGCGGGTCATCTCGAAGGCAATCCAGGGAGGGGCTGTCCTGTGACGTCATTAGGCTGCGCATATAAGCGAGGGGTCAAAGAAGGAGAGCAACAGTCGAGAGCTGAAGTGACATCGAGATGAACGCAAAGGTAATACGATCCTGCCGGTCGTTTTTGTCTTTGGAGAATATTTGAAATTTGTTTCTTGAGTAATCTTCAAATGACTGTATGTGTTTGCATTGATTATTTTTTCTTTGACAGGTACTGATTGCACTGGCTTTGGTCGCCGTGGCTGCTGCCGATAAGCTCCCAGCTTACTCCTACTCTGCACCACAGGTTTGTGTCAACTGTCTCATCAGAAGAGTGATAACAATAACTGATAGTCATTTTTACTTCATAATGGCTCTTCAGCTGTTCGTGAAAATATTCATGTTTACCGTTTTGCTTATAGATTTGTAAATTCTTATCTCCCTAGGGATCTTTCGAGGACTCAGTGGAGTACGATGATGCCAAGTACGACTTCAACTGGGCTGTGAAGGACTCCGACTCCGGCAACGACTTCGGCCACCAGGAGTCCCGCGACGGCGACAACACTCAGGGATCCTACTACGTGCAGCTCCCCGACGGCCGCCTGCAGAAGGTCACCTACTACGTGGACGGCGACAACGGATACGTTGCCGACGTGACGTACGAGGGCGAGGCTCGCTATGACTCTGTGGAGTCTCGCGAATACGTGGCCCCCAGACCCGTGTACTCCGCCCCCGAGTCCCACGAGTCAGTTGAGACTCCCGTGTACACCCCACCACGACCCCAGTATGCCGCCCCCAGGCGCTCCTACGGGTTCCCTCAGTAAGGAAGGATAACCAAAGCCCATGACCAGTTACACCGAATGAATCTATTTATTTATGGACATTATTTGCAATAAAACAATAATCTACCAATTGTATTTATATTTTACCACCGACGGATGTCTCAGTAAAAAAGAAAAGAAAAGAAAGAAAGAAAAGAAAGAAAGAAAAAAAAAAATCCTAGAGATTTATGCTAGTAAATCCTAGTAACTTAAAAACCTAATTAATGGATAAATTACGAATAATCAATGCATATCCTACATATGTTTATATATACATGTGTCATCCATGTGTATATGATGAAAGAATTAAAAGAAATGTGGCATAAACGGCTGGGTAGAAGAGGCTGTGCGAACGAACATAAATTCTGAAGGCTTGACATAATGTTCTTATCTTATTTTCTAGGAATGACCAAGGACTAATAAATGAAACTGAAACCATCAATTTCTTGCTACATATGCACATATACACACATACAAACATACATATATTTAGATATATACAAGACACATACATACATACGTAAAGGGAGATAAAAAGATGGGTACATTGCATATAAATATATATGTGTAAAGATTGAAAAAAACTACATATTTCATTGTATACAGAATATATACAAAGCATACTGTATATAGTGTATACATGCGCATATATATGTAGTATAATATATATATATATATATATATATATATATATATATATATATATATATAAATATATATATATATGTATATGTATATATATGTATATATATATATATATATTATATATATATATATATTATATATATATATATATATAATATATTATAATATAGAGAGAGATAAACGTTGTTAAGATATTTGTGTTTGAATATCCTAGGTATAGGCAGAATATATGCAATATACACATTTTATTGTATGTATGCATGTATATTTGTATATATAAATCAATATATATATATACAGAGTATATTATCATATATGTTTATGTATATAGTATATTACATGAATTTGTATATGTATATATATGAATATATATTTACACACACACACACACATATATAAAGAATGAACATACATACAGTAGTGAATCCGAGCGTGCTCGCAGCTACACGAAACACTGTAAGATAAAAAAGAGGGGTAAGCATGATATAAATATATATGTTAAACTGGTACAAATGTAATAACGTGTCGAATAGAAACAGCAGTGAAAATGTAAAAAGAAAGATAGAAAGGAAGAAGAAGAAAGAAGAAAATAAAACACACACACAAAAAAAAATCCTCAAACAGCAGTGACGAATCGGGAAATAAAAACACGAACCAAGGTTTTGGAAGGAAGCCGTGACATTCAGGAAGACACGCAACTAAGAACTTACATCTGGTATGGCTTAGGTGGTGAAGTGGGTGGTGATGAGTGGAAGGAGAGGGAGAGAGGGAGAGAGGGAGAGAGAAGTAGACGGTTTGCGACGAAAACAAGCGCGACCTTGGCATTCAGGAGGACGCACAGCCAGGAACCTCAAGCTGGTATGACCAGGGGGTGGGGATGTGGGGACGGGGTGGGAGGAGAGGGTGGGGAGAGGAAGGCGATGGGGAGACAAAGAGGGCAGTGGGAGAGAGAGGAGGGTGGGCAGAAAAAAAGAAAAACGAAGGGCGAGAAGCGCACCATTTTTTCCGGATGTAACAGAGTAGAGGAGTGACGTCACTCGGCTGGCGGTATAAGTACGCTCGGTTCGCTTGCGTGGTCAGTTGTGTGTCAAACAGGTCTCCAGAATGAACACTAAGGTGCGTGCCATTCGGTGCAAGAGTGGCGTATAATGCATGTCAGTCGTGTAATTATTCCAGACAACAATAAGGCTTCTTTTACAATCCCATAACGTTCTTGCAGGTCCTCTTGTTGCTCGGCGTGGTGGCCGTGGCTGCTGCAGATAAGCTGCCCACCTACTCCTACAGCGCCCCACAGGTGAGTGTTGGGCATAAGGATGCCTGATGATATACTTTTGTTGGGAAACTTCCAAAATAATTTTATTTCAAACGTTTCGGTGAATGATTGTTGCTGATTACGTTGCTTTTGAATGTACTATAACGTTATAGTATTGATACTAGTTGATTGAATTGGAAATTTCAGGGATCTTTCGAAGACTCAGTGGAGTACGATGATGCCAAGTACGACTTCAACTGGGCTGTGAAGGACTCCGACTCCGGCAACGACTTCGGACACCAGGAGTCCCGCGACGGCGACAACACTCAGGGATCCTACTACGTGCAGCTCCCCGACGGCCGCCTGCAGAAGGTCACCTACTACGTGGACGGCGACAACGGATACGTTGCCGACGTGACGTACGAGGGCGAGGCTCGCTATGACTCTGTGGAGTCTCGCGAATACGTGGCCCCCAGACCCGTGTACTCCGCCCCCGAGTCCCACGAGTCAGTTGAGACTCCCGTGTACACCCCACCACGACCCCAGTATGCCGCCCCCAGGCGCTCCTACGGGTTCCCTCAGTAAGATGAACAATGAAGGCCGATGACCAGTTTCGTCGAACGGATTGTATCTATTTATTTATGGACACTGAATTAATTAAATGTTCAATGAAACATTCGTGTATTCTATCACCCAGTGATAATATGTGTGCACAAAATATAAGTAAATACAAAGGAAAGAGAAGGGGAAAAGGATACAAATTATTCTGTGAGCTGTGGAAGCATACTGCTATTTCCTTAGATAAATAGTATCATTCATGCATACTTCACTTTCCATTCACCACTTACATAAATACATATACACACCCACACACATGTATGTCCACGTCAACATTTGATAAATTTTGTAAACGGATCATTCATTCTTTGGCTCATGAGAATACATTATTGTCTTGATTCTTTGTCACAAGTATCTTATAAATGTGCTTAGAAAACCATTTTATTTATATATAGTTTTAAGTATCTATTTTCGAGGGTTCAGTGATTTACTAATGCCAACAAGCAAATTTATGTGTTCTGGTTACATATTAAAAGAAAACTGAGGAGTTTCAAGAATATTTTAATTAATATACACACAGAATAGGTTTTTCCATCATGAAGTGAACTCATTTACTGTTGGCCTCATTAACTGCAAGTCGTCACAAGCAGAAAAAATACACAAGATAGCTTCGCCGTTATTATCTTCGAGAATATCAAACTGTCTCAAAATAGTTCAGCAGAAATGTAATGTTTGTCTGTTCAAGTAGATTTTCTGTATAGGAACTGTACTACACATAAACAATACCTGCTTTGAGATTTAAAAACATTTTCGACATTTTAATTTTTCTGAGTACCAACACCATTATGCTCACTACATATGATTTTAGTCACATTACGGCTGACATGTCTACATATAAGTATTGCACAGACCTCCCTGGCTCTGGCCCCAAATGAACTGATGTCTACCTTACTCTGTTTATATTGATATTAGACAGACTCCTCTCTGTCCAACCAAACTTTTTATTGAAACAATTGATTCCGGGCATACTTGATCTACTGTAATGACCCCAAACCCTCTCTGATCTTCAAGACTACACTGAATTGCAGAATGCAAACGTCAGTTGAAGGTCACATTGCGTTGGTGTGACACTGCTTTTCCTCGAGGTGTCGACATACCATATTACTAACCTTTTTTATAATGAGAGATACAGCAGTGATTTAGCAAAGACAAATGGCTGAGCTTAAAAGTGGTTTTGGTATATAATAGAGAAACGCAGAAAATCTGTCGATAAATATCTATAACAAATTAGAAATAGACAATATATATATATATATATAATATATATATATATATATATATATATATATATATATATATATATATATATATATATATATATATATATATATATAATATATAACAGTGGATGACTGTGCTTTCAAAATATAGAGTTATTGCACAATATACATAAATAAACTATGTCTCACATAGGAAGCTAATAAGAATTTTTACGTTACACTGCCCTGCTGTTTCAATGCTGCTTCTTTTCTCTTTTTATACTCATTCTCTCGACAAAAAACCTGCTGGTACTTCATACCGAAAAAAAAACAACAAAAAACCCTGCAGAGGGAAAAGTGGGTAAAGTATTAGCAGAGGAAAAAATGTTTACACATATTTTTATATATATATATATATTATATATATATATATATATATATATATATATATATATATATATATATATATATTATATATATATATGTATTATACATTTGTATATGTATGTTTGCACACACACACACACACAAATATATGAATATGCATTCATACGTGCAAGCATGCGCACACGCATACACGCACACACACACACACACACAAATACACACAAACACACATATATGTTTATTTATTTATTCACACGCAAACACACACCCACACCCACATACACACATCCATATATACAGATTATGTGTATATACGTGTCTGTTTGCGTTTATATAATACATTTGTATATATGAACACACACATAAATATAGATTCACCCATGTATATTTATCTTAATCTATTTCATCTAAGACCACATATACATATAATACACATACTCATAAATGTACATATATATGTATAAATATGTATACACATGTGTGTGTGTGTATGTGTATGCATATATTTATGCAGACACACACGTACACAGAGACCTGTATGGATATATAGATATGCATATGTAATTGATGTAATAAGTGCAATATTATTCATACATGTCTCTGAAGAGAAACTGACCATCATAGCCAAGCCAAAACGGTCTTGGAGGAAAAGAAAAACAAAAAGCCAGCCATGTAGGTCAGTACTGGTGAGCGGGTCATCTCGAAGGCAATCCAGGGGAGGGGGGGGGGGGGCGAGGCTATCCTGTGACGTCATTAGGCTGCGCATAAAAGCGAGCGTTCCAGACAGGGAGCCACAGTCTACAGCGGAAGTGGATTCAACATGAACACAAAAGTAATACTATCCATACGTTAAGATATCAATTCTGAATAATTTAAATCCGAATATGTTAGAACTTCAGTGATAAAATCAGTGTTCTTTTTGGCATGTGCTCATTTTTTTTTTTTTTAAATCATAAAATGAGTGTTCAGATTTCTTTATTCTTTTACAATCTGTTATTTGTGATATTTCGAAACAAGAGTTTCTGACAAGTGCTGATTCTTAGAATCTTGGGCAGTCTTGACTTGAGGTTATTCGTATTTTACTCATATAAATATTTTCCCATGACAGGTACTGATTGCACTGGCTTTGGTGGCCGTGGCTGCTGCCGATAAGCTCCCAGCTTACTCTTACTCTGCACCACAGGTTTGTGATAACAATAAAAGACTCCTTTTTACTTCATAATGACTATCCTGTTCGTGAAAATATTCATGTCTACCGCTTTGCTTATGAATTTGTAAATTCTTATGTCCCTAGGGATCTTTCGAAGACTCAGTGGAGTACGATGATGCCAAGTACGACTTCAACTGGGCTGTCAAGGACTCCGACTCCGGCAACGACTTCGGACACCAGGAGTCCCGCGACGGCGACAACACTCAGGGATCCTACTACGTGCAGCTCCCCGACGGCCGCCTGCAGAAGGTCACCTACTACGTGGACGGCGACAACGGATACGTTGCCGACGTGACGTACGAGGGCGAGGCTCGCTATGACTCTGTGGAGTCTCGCGAATACGTGGCCCCCAGACCCGTGTACTCCGCCCCCGAGTCCCACGAGTCAGTTGAGACTCCCGTGTACACCCCACCACGACCCCAGTATGCCGCCCCCAGGCGCTCCTACGGGTTCCCTCAGTGAGGAAGGATAACCAAAACCGATGACCAGTTACGCCGAACGGAATGTATCTATTTATTTATGGACATGAAATACATTAAAACTGAATTAAGTACTTAATCATTTCACCATTCAACAATGCCAAGTTACTTCATATGAATATGAATAATCTTAAAAAGGAGAAGAGGGAAAAAAGAGAGAAGTACACGATAGAACCGGAAGTTAAAATTACACTAGTATTTCATTAAATGAAGGTTCTATTCACATGTTATCTGCTTCCTCTTTATATATACTTATCTCGATTGACTCCGATTGCTGTTTTGATATAACTACAGCCATACACGCTTACGTGTCTGTATATACGTATATTGTATGGGTAACAATATTTGAACATAGAAACTGTATGTAGCCCATCCCTTCTCTGGTCCATTACGCTACAATATTTTTTTCTACTGACCTGCAACTTACCTTGCTTTGCTTCCTGGAGAAAACTTTTTCACCCTTTCATTAGGTAAGATTTTCCTGCTTCCTGTGTTCCTCTTGATTTACTGGTATGTTTCAAATGCACTTCGAAATTTAGGGAATTTAATTAATTTCTAGGATCCTGCGAGTTTAAGATGAAGTGAATCAAATGACTATGTGTTGATCATACACACAGCAACACATAAGAGCACACATGTATACATAGTCAACACACGGTCATTTACGTTACAGAAAACTACATAATTTCATTGCTACATTTTGTAGTTAATGTATACTAAAACACTATTAATTCCAATGACTAAAGGTCAAATGACGACACAAAACAGGTTTGTCCACCTTGTAGTGATCTCATGTACCATTGGCCTTGTTGGCTGTAGTGCATTCACAAGCAGGGAATTACACAAGGTCGCTTCACCAACATCACCTTCGAGAACATCCCCAAATATATTGCACAGAAAGGTTCGACAGAAGTGTACTGTTCTATGGGTTGAGTACATATCTGAATACAGTTTCTGCTCTGAAATATGATTTTTTTTTCTGTATCTTAATTACCCTATCCATTATAATAGTAATTCATAATCGATATGCTTATTATTCATACTGTGAATGTTATGTCGCTAGTTAGCTATCTGAATTGCAGCTTACCCTCAGATTAATGTATAACATTCTCAGTTTCGTCCAACTTGTCTAAAATTACCGAACTTTGTTATCTTTAAAAAACACTGATCCTGAGCGTATCTGGTCACCTGCAATGGACCTAAGATCTCTGCTCTGACCTTAAGATACAAAACGTAAACTCGAGCAGGTCAAACGCCATTATATTCGAATGGCACTGCTTTCCCTCGATACACCAAAAATACCTGAAACCTTACCAGCAGAGTCGTGTTTTGTAGCAATGACTTAGCAAAATGGATTTTTTCTTTGCACAAAACAAATGGCGTGGTTTCCTTTATGACAAGTATATCCAGAATAAAAAGAAGTTTGGACATGCAGCGACACGGAATTTATTTTTTGATGGACTGAAGGGAATAACAATTTTTTTTTTTGCTGTAACTATAAAAGGATTTATTTTAAACTCAACAAGGCAAAGGAAACACAAAATAACATACACAAACATATATATATTCATATATATGTATATATGCGTATGCATAACTGCACACACACACACATATACATACATAAATAAATAGGTAAATGAATATATGTATATATATATATATTATATATATTATATATATATATATATATATAATATATACATATCTATATCTATATGTGTGTGTGTACTATGCACACACACACATGTATATATATTATATATATATATATATATATATATATATATTATATATATATATATATATATATATATATATATATATATATATATATATATATATATATATATATACATACATGCATACATACATACATACATATATATATATATATATATATATATATATATATATATATATATATATATATATATATATATATATATATATATATATATATGTATATATATATATATATATATATATATATTATAATATATATATATATATATATATATATATATATATTATATATATATATATATATATATATATATATATATATATATATATATATATATATATATATATATATATAATATATGTGTGTGTTGTGTAGTTGTGTGTGTGTACGTGTGTGTGTGTGTACGTTTCTATCTAAATATATTGTTTATATGCAGGTATATGTACATGTATGTGCATTACTGTGTATGTACACACACATACTGACATAAATAAATACATGTATGTGTATGTATGTATCTTAATATGTATCTTTGATGTTATATGTATATAGAGTATAAATATAATCAGATAAAATATAATAATTAGCATACATAAATACCATACAATACATAAATATACATTATATACATATATACATATATACATAATACATACAGACATAGGTAGGATATGCATATATGTATCTCTCTCTCTCTCTCTCTCCTCTCTCTCTCTCTCTCTCTCTCTCTCTTCTCTATATATATATATATATATATATATGATATATATATGTATATAAAGTATATATAGAGAGAGCTCAAACAGTACTCTCACACACAAACACAACACACATATAGAAACAAACAGAAACAGTAACGTGTACAAAAGTGAAAATGAAAGCAGCCACAGTAAAAAATAAAAATAAATCGAAAATGATTCATTTTCATTTATATTGTTGCTAACTTTTCTTTACACACACACCACACACACACACATATATATTATACTTAACTGATGTAATAAGTGAATATTATTTATACATTTATGTGAAGAGAAACTGACCATAATAGCCAAGCCAAAACGGTCTTGGAGGAAAAGAAAAACAAAAAGCAGCATGTAGTCAGTACTTGGTGAGCGGGTCATCTCGAAGGCAATCCAGGGGGAGGGGGGGGGCACGGCTATCCTGTGACGTCATTAGGCTGCGCATAAAAGCGAGCGTTCCAGACAGGGAGCCACAGTCAACACCGGAAGCCGATTCGAGATGAACGCAAAAGTAATACTATTCCCTTGTTAAAATGTCAATTTTAATGCGAATAGGCTAGAACTTCAGTGATAAAATCAGTGTTGTTTTTGACATGTGCTCACTATCGTTAACATCTGTCATTTGAGAAATTCTGAAATAAGTTTTTGACAAGTGCTGATTGTCAGAATGTATTTCTTGAGCAGTCTTGAATTGAGGTTATTCGTATTTTACTCATAAGTATATATATATATTTTCCCATGACAGGTACTGATTGCACTGGCTTGGTGGCGTGCTGCTGCCGATAAGCTCCCAGCTTACTCTTACTCTGCACCACAGGTTTGTGATAACAATAAAAGACTCCTTTTTACTTCATAATGACTATCCTGTTCGTGAAAATATTCATGTCTACCGCTTTGCTTATGAATTTGTAAATTCTTATGTCCCTAGGGATCTTTCGAAGACTCAGTGGAGTATGATGATGCCAAGTACGACTTCAACTGGGCTGTGAAGGACTCCGACTCCGGCAACGACTTCGGACACCAGGAGTCCCGCGACGGCGACAACACTCAGGGATCCTACTACGTGCAGCTCCCCGACGGCCGCCTGCAGAAGGTCACCTACTACGTGGACGGCGACAACGGATACGTCGCCGACGTGACGTACGAGGGCGAGGCTCGCTATGACTCTGTGGTCTCGCGAATACGTGGCCCCCAGACCCGTGTACTCCGCCCCCGAGTCCACGAGTCAGTTGAGACTCCCGTGTACACCCCACGACCCAGTATGCCGCCCCCAGGCGCTCCTACGGGTTCCCTCAGTGAGGAAGGATAACCAAAGCCCATGACCAGTTACGCCGAACGGAATGTATCTATTTATTTATGGACATTATTTGCAATAAAACAATAATCTACCAATTGTATTTATATTTTACCACCCACGGATGTCTCAGTAAAGAAGAAGAAGTAGAAGTAGAGAGAGAGAGAGAGAGAGAGAGAGAGAGAGAGAGAGAGAGAGAGAGAGAGAGAGAGAGAGAGAGAGAGAGAGAGAGAGAGAGAGAGAGAGAGAGAGAGAGAGAGATACACGAAATTTCGAAAACGCTTCAGGAATTTCATACTCATCCACTCTCTCACAACACATCGCATTTTTGCAGTCAGATCCTAGAGATTACAGCAACTTAAAAACCTAATTAATGGATAAATTACGAATAAACAGTGCATAACCTACATATGTTTATATATACATGTGTCATCCATGTGTATATGATGAAAGAATTAAAAGAAATGTGGCATAAACGGCTTGGTAGAGAGAGGCTGTGCGAGCGATTATAAATTCTGAAGGCTTGACATAATGTTCTTATCTTATTTTCTAGGAATGACCAGGGACTAATAAATGAAACTGAAACCATTAATTTCTTGCTACATATGCACATATACACACATACAAACATACATATATTTAGATATATACAAGACACATACATACATACGTAAAGGGAGATAAAAAGATGGGTACATTGCATATAAATATATATGTGTAAAGATTGATAAAAACTACGTATTTCATTGTATACAGAATATATACAAAGCATACTGTATATAGTGTATACATATATATATGTATGTATATATATATATATATATATATATATATATATATATATATATATGTATTTATGTATATATATGTATATATATATATATATATATATATATATATATATATATATATATATAGAGAGAGAGAGAGAGAGAGAGAGAGAGAGAGAGATAAACGTTGTTAAGATATTTGTGTTTGAATATCCTAGGTATAGGCAGAATATATGCAATATACACATTTTATGTATGTATGCATGTATATTTGTATATATATAAATCAATATATATATATATACAGAGTATATTATCATATATGTTTATGTATATAGTATATTACATGAATTTGTAATATGTATATATATGAATATATATTTACACACACACACACACACATATAAAGAATGAACATACATACAGTAGTGAATCCGAGCGTGCTCGCAGATACACGAAACACTGTAAGATAAAAAGAGGGGTAAGCATGATATAAATATATATGTTAAACTGGTACAAATGTAATAACGTGTCGAATAGAAACAGCAGTGAAAATGTAAAAAGAAAGATAGAAAGGAAGAAGAAAGAAAGAAAGAAAAAATAAATACAATACAAAAAAAAAAATTCAACAGCAGTGACGAATCGGGAAAATAAAAACACAACCAAGGTTTTGGAAGGAAGCCGTGACATTCAGGAAGACACGCAACTAAGAACTTACATCTGGTATGGCTTAGGTGGTGAAGTGGGTGGTGATGAGTGGAAGGAGAGGGAGAGAGGGAGAGAGGGAGAGAGAAAGCAGACGGTTTGCGACGAAAACCGGCGCGACCTTGGCATTCAGGAGGACGCACAGCCAGGAACCTCAAGTGGTATGACCAGGGTGGGGATGTGGGGGACGGGGTAGGAGGAGAGGGGGGTGGGGAGGAAGGCGGTGGGGAGACAAAGAGGGCAGTGGGGAGAGAGTGAGACGGGTGGGCAGAAAAAAAGAAAAACGAAGGGCGAGAAGCGCACCATTTTTTCCGGATGTAACAGAGTAGAGGAGTGACGTCACTCGGCTGGCGGTATAAGTACGCTCGGTTCGCTTGCGTGGTCAGTTGTGTGTCAAGCAGGTCTCCAGAATGAACACTAAGGTGCGTGCCATTCGGTGCAAGAGTGGCGTATAATGCATGTCAGTCGTGTAATTATTCCAGACGACAATAAGGCTTCTTTTACAATCCTATAACGTTCTTGCAGGTCCTCTTGTTGCTCGGCGTGGTGGCCGTGGCTGCTGCAGATAAGCTGCCCACCTACTCCTACAGCGCCCCACAGGTGAGTGTTGGGCATAAGGATGCCCGATGATATACTTTGTTGGGAAACTTCCCAAAACGTAATTTATTTCAAACGTTTCGGTGAATGGTTGTTGTTGATTACTTGCTTTTGAATGTATTATAACGTATTGTATTGATTAGGAGTTGACTGAATTGGAAATTTCAGGGTTCTTTCGAAGACTCAGTGGAGTACGATGATGCCAAGTACGACTTCAACTGGGCTGTGAAGGACTCCGACTCCGGCAACGACTTCGGCCACCAGGAGTCCCGCGACGGCGACAACACTCAGGGATCCTACTACGTGCAGCTCCCCGACGGCCGCCTGCAGAAGGTCACCTACTACGTGGACGGCGACAACGGATACGTTGCCGACGTGACGTACGAGGGCGAGGCTCGCTATGACTCTGTGGAGTCTCGCGAATACGTGGCCCCCAGACCCGTGTACTCCGCCCCCGAGTCCCACGAGTCAGTTGAGACTCCCGTGTACACCCCACCACGACCCCAGTATGCCGCCCCAGGCGCTCCTACGGGTTCCCTCAGTGAGGAAGATAAACCAAGCCGATGACCAGTTTCACCGAACGGAATGTATCTATTTATTTATGGACATGAAATACATTAAAACTGAATTAAGTACTTAATCATTTCACCATCTAACAATGCCAAGTTACTTCATATGAATATGAATAATATTAAAAAGGAGAAGAGTGAAAAAAGAGAGAAGTACACGATAGAACCGGAAGTTAAAATTTCACTAGTATTTCATTAAATGAAGGTTCTATTCATATGTTAGTACATCTGCTTCGACTTTATATATACTTATCTCGACTGATTCCCATTGCTGTTTTGATATAACTACAGCCATACATATTTACGTGTCTGTATATACGTATATTGTATGGGTAACAATATTTGAATATAGAACTGTATGTAGCCATCCTTCTCTGGCCCATTACGCTACAACTTTTTTTTTTTCTACTGACATGCAACTTACCTTGCTTTGCTTCCTGGAGAAAACTTTTTCACCCTTTCATTAGGTAACATTTTCCTGCTTCCTTGTTCCTCTTGATTTACTGGTATGTTTCAAATACACTTCGAAATTTAGGGAACTAATTAATTTCTAGGATCCTGCGAGTTTAAGATGAAGTGAATCAAATGACTATGTGTTGATCATACACACAGCAACACATAAGAACACACATGTATACATAGTCAACACACGGTCATTTACGTTACAGAAAACTACATAATTTCATTGCTACATTTTGTAGTTAATATATACTAAAACACTACTCTTAATTTCAATGACTAAAGGTCATATAACGACACAAAACAGGTTTGTCCACCTTGTAGTGATCTCATGTACCATTGGCCTCGTTGGCTGTAGTGCATTTACAAGCAGGGAATTACACAAGGTCGCTTCACCAACATCACCTTCGAGAACATCTCCAAATATATTGCACAGAAAGGTTCGACAGAAATGTACTGTTCTATGGGTTGAGTACATATCTGGATACAGTTTCTGCCCTGAAATATGAATTGATTTCTGTATCATAATTACCCGATCCATTATAATAGTAATTCATAATAGATATGCTTATAATTCATACTGTGAATGGTATGTCGCTAGTTTAGCTATCTGAATTGTAGCTTACCCTCCCCTTCAGATTAATGTATAACATACTCAGTTTCGTCAACTGTCTAAAATTACCAACTTTGTTATCTTTAAAAAACACTGATCCTGAGCGTATCTGGTCACCTGCAATGAACCCAAGATCTCTGCTCTGACCTCGAGATACAAAATGCAAACGCGAGCAGCAAAACGCCATTATATTCGATGTATGGCACTGCTTTCCCTCGATACACCCGAAATGCCTGAAACCTTACCAGTAGAGTTGTTTTTAGCAATGACTTAGCAAAGTGGATTTTTTCTTTGCAAAAACTGCGTGGTTTGCTTTATGACAAAGTATATTAATCCAAAATAAAAAGAAAATTGGACATGCAGCGACACGGCTTTATTTTTCCTTTTGATGGACTGAAGGGAATAACAAAATTTTTGTAACTATAAGAGAGACAGTATTTATCTGCCAAATGTGACTACTTATAAAAGGACATATTTTAAACTCAATAAGGCAAAGGAAACACAAAATAACATACATATATATGTACACTATATATATATATCATATACATATATACATTCATATATATGTATATATGCGTATGCATAACTGCACACACACACACACACACATATACATACATAAATAAATAGGTAAATGAATATATATATATATATATATATATATATATATATATATATATATATATATATATATATATTATATACATATCATATATCTATATGTGTGTGTGTACTATGCACACACACACACACATGTACATATATATATATATATATATATATATATATATATATATATATATATATATATATATATATATATACATATATATATATATATATACATACATACATATATACATATATAATATATATAATATATATAATATATATATAATATATATATATATATATATATATATATATATACATATATATATATATATATATGATATATATATATATCATATATATATATATATATGTGTGTGTAGTGTGTGTGTGTGTGTGTGTGTGTGTGTGTGTGTGTGTGTGTTTCCTACTAAAATATATTTTTATATGCAGTATATGTTACATGTATGTGCATTACTGTGTATGTACACACACATACTGACATAAATAAATACATGTATGTGTATGTATGTATCTTAATATGTATCTTTGTGATGTATATATGTATATAGAGTATAAATATAATAGAAACGCATACATAAATACATATACATGTTTATACATATACATAGATACATATATACACATACATAAATATATATACATGTATATACATATATAATATATATACATACAGACATAGGGTAACGCAATATGTATCTCTCTCTCTCTCTCTCTCTCTCTCTCTCTCTCTCTCTCTCTCTCTCTCC